GCATCGGCTCCTGCAGCTTGTAGTAGACCATGCCGTGGAAGGGTGCACCAGGAAGTTGCTGCACGTTCAGGCACTTCGGCAGATAAGGTACATATGGCCCGTAGTAGAGACACCGCGTCGGGGTGGCACCTGCTGCGGTAGTTGGGGGTGTCGGTGGACACATGACCCAGCCAGGTCCCATCGTAGAATTGTAGCGCGCCTTCCAGTTCAAATCACCCAATATATACAATGGACAACCCTGGTCCGCGAGGTTCTGAGCGAATGCAAAGAATCTCGTCCACCAAGCTGGGTCCTCAGTATTCGGACCATAGACAGACAAGTATATGCAGTTAGACGCCTTGATACCCACGACTCGGTGGCCGAAGGACTCGTCACGGATGATCGAGAGCTTCCCGACCGCATTCGGCTTCCACGCGATGGCACAACCCCTTTGGCGGACAGCGGCCACACGCGTAGGAGGTGGTGGAGGCGAGCAGGCAACCGACCAGCCGCACCGCTTGCAACATTCCAGTACCCATCGAGGTCGCTCCTCTCGCTGTCGAAGCTCCTGCAGGCACAGTAGAGAACAGTCATCCGCATGACGAAGCGCCTCCTCCAGGCGCGCCTTGGTAAGAGATGTCGCGTTCAACGCGGCAGCAGTGGTGCTGATGTCAATGGGCTCATGCAGCTGTGTTTCCGGAGAACCACCTCCTCCCACCAATGAATCACCCTCCAACTTCTGCAAGTGTCCAGCATGCGGCGACTGAGCCTGGGAAGCAGCCGTCGGCAGAAGCCAGGCGCGACCAGGACTTGCGATCTGTGCCCCAGAACTTCTGGCAGCGGTGAAGGGCCTAGGGACACATCCCTTGCCCATGCGTTCTAACCGATGTCCAGCACGTGGCAACGTTGCCTGGCTCGGGCTCGAGGAGCACCCGGAACCAGGACTTGCGTTCTGACAGGATAGTCACGAAGAAGCGGCCGCAGCCGCTGCAGATGAGGACGCAGTCGATGAGGACGCAGACCCCGCAGCAGCTGGGCGCCGAAGAACTTCGCGAGACGTGCAGTGAGAGACCAACCTCCATGGCCTCAGCTTTGGCAGGGGGAGTCCAGCACGACGTAGAGCATTACGCTTCCGCATGCGGATCCGACGTTCATGTCGAAGGCCTCGCTCCTGAATCTTCGCCTTGTACGCGGGATCCTCCATCAGCTCGGCCTGTCGCAGTCTGTTATTATCTTTATGCTTGTCCCGGGAACGCTTGGCAATGCGATCCTGGATAGCTTTCCGCCTCTTCCTCTCCGTGGCACCAAGCAGCTTGTCGAGTAGCTGGACCCTTGTCGTCAATCCCTGGGGCCGCAACCTGCAGGGGTCCGTGCGGAGGCGGAAGATCGGCTTCTGAGCTCCACAACGGGAGCGCGTGTAGAGCGTCACGAACTGGTTGGACCGCCGCGCAGTAGCACCCGCCTCCTCGGACGTCTGGCATAACTGGATCTGGAACTTGGTTGGCAGCTGGTCCTGCCACCACTTGTACTTCTGCCAGGCGATGCGACGGGCTGCCCTGGCTGCGGCTCCCTGCGTCGCTCTGTTGGCGCCACCATGCGAGCCAGGTGGGGCTCGGGATGGCGGCGGCTCACCCACACAGTAGCGCCAATGGACACGGGCTTCCTGGAGACGGCGTGGATGATTGTCAGCTGCCGGCTTCCATCCACACCCAGGCGTTGGACAACGTAGATGTGCGCCAGGACCCTGCAGATCAGGTTCCTCGTCGAGCACTGGCGGAGGCTCTCCAGCTTCAGAGATACCCAGGAAGCTGCGCGCCTTCTGGGTCGAAGTGGTCCCTCTCTTCGAACCTCTGGACGACTGTGGGATTCCAGGAAATGACCTGGCATCCGCCTCCTCCGAAGCTCGAGCGGTACTGGCAACAGACTTTCCTCCTCCACGAAGTAGACCACGTCCACCTGTGAAGATGTCTGGGTAAGGTAGAGCCTGCTACCATCATGCAGTATCCACCGCCACCGGTAGTGATGACGCAGCTTGCAGTAACTTGTAGTGCTTATCCTGTAAGACCAATCACACCAAGGGACGCTTACTCGAAGCCGAACGTGCTGTCGGGCCCGCGTAGAGTACCCAGCGGTCGTCCGTCGCGTTGAACTTCCAAACATTGATGTCGACCTTGGCCGCAGCAGCTGTAGCCTTCAAGGCCGCCGTGTTCGCCAAGCAGCCAGCCTTCGCCATCTGCTCAGCCTGCTTCGCGGTGACTCCGTACTTCTTCAAGTGCTTCTTCATTTCTGCAGAAACGAGTAGGCGCAGCTTGGCCTGGACCTTCCCACCTGGCTGGTCATTCCCTGCGGCAACGGGCTTGGGGTCGGCCGCAGCACCACGAAGAGCTCGACCGATGCATAGGAAGAAGCAGCCACCACTGCCTCCACACTCCACGTCTTTGAAGTAGTCCGTCCAGGGTGGCGTCGCTGCTCGGCGGGCACGCTGCTGGGGGGGGTCGCCTTCCGACGGTCCCAGCTGGCGGCCGTCAACAGGTACCTCATGAGGGGGGGGAGCTCCGTCCGCAGGTGCCAAGCTGGCTGTCGCGGGCTGAGTTGGCTCCATCTCCTCATCTGGCGTCGTGGTCGGGAGTCCTGCGCGCGGCTGCACAGTTCCCCAGGAAGAGGTGGGCTTGGAGACGGGCGTCTTCTTCCTGCCCCCTGCGCTATTGTAGGCCAACGAGACAGAGATCCCGCTGGCGAAGGTAAGGACTCGATCTGCATCAGAACGCCCCGCCGCCGAGTCAGCTCTGAAGAACCAACGACGACGGCCAGCACGATGTATTTTAATGATGTTGGTGAAGCCTCTTTGCGCAGCCCATGACTCCGAGCCCCCTGGTCCAACCCAGTTGTCAGGAGTACTGAGGGCACACCCTCTTGGGAGAATATCCGTGGCCAGCGCCTGGTCCGTCAACACTCCCAAACTTGCGTCATCTGACGGGCGGTAGCACATCCGCCCCGACACTGAAGTAGAGCTGGCTGTCACGCGCGCCAAGTCGGCCTCGTGGGTCTCGTCCTCTCGCTGCTTGAAGCATCTCGGTACTAACTTTGAACCCTGAATGTTCATGAACACGCCTCGTGGCAAGGAAAACTGCATGCACTTCTCGAGGGGGGACTTCTTCAAGACGAGGGGACATGTCAACTCGCTCTCATAGTTGAGCGCACCTTTGACTTTCAGCACCATCTTCTGAAGTTCGTCGTTGAAAATGAGAGCAGCCAGCGCCACTGGACGCTGGGCCGCCCGCGTGAAGAGATCATCCGCTGCGTAGTTCCTCGCCGCCGTCAGTCTCACCTGCACGGTCTCAAGGGCGGTCACCGCCTGGACAGGAGTGGCGTCGACGATGCCCTCTGGTAGTCCCACACGTCGTGGCGGAGACGGGCCCAGCTCGATCAGGAGGCACCTCTGAGTCGCTGTACCCTTGGCCTGGCCCGTCTCCACCAGCACGCCCACGAAGGAAGAGCCCTCCAGGACACGCTGCATATTGAATATGAGGATGGTAGCTGATCGCTCGGCATCTCCAAGCGCGTCCAGCCACCGTCTCGTAGCTTGATACTTCTTCTCATCCTGACATGCGATGAGCGGCGGCTTCTCGCAGTTGCAGTCCTGCAGGCGTTTGGCAGACCAAACAGGGCAGTCCTGTCCCCAGTGGCTCTTGTCGACTTTGATATCCTTCTGCTGGTTCTGCTGCTGCTGCTGTTGCTGCTGCTGCTTGGTGGACGTCCCGCCTGCAGCACTCGCAGCAGCTGAAGTGGTATTGGGAGAGCGGTTCAGCAACTGAAGTAGTCGCTCACGCACCTGCATCTCCGTGGATCGGTAGCCCGACACGTCGACCTTCTTGAGGAGTTCTCGAACGTCCTGCAGTAGTCGTGGCTCCTGGAAAGCCTTGGACTTCTTCTGACGTCTGGTCTGAAAGCTCCCCCCCACTCTCCCCGCGAGAGATTGGAGAGCCTCCTGCATCTTCTGGATTTCACTTGACGGGTCTCGGCGGCGCCCCTTCACCTTCGAGCCCTGCATTCCCTTTTTTTTTATCGCCACCTCCCACCAGCGGATCCTCCCAGGAGTCCTCAGAGAAGGTAGACGAAGTCACAGTGATCGGTGAGATCTGCAAAATGGATGACTCACCGATGTCCCCGTCGATGTAGTCGGTCACGGAGTTCTCTGACAGCACACTGCACGGATAACTCTGAACAACATGGTTAGAATGCACAACAGCACGGCGTTCACCCAGATCTGCTTCGAGCAAGGGGCTCGACCCACGTATCCCACGAGGAGGACCTGGGTATTGTACGTCAGAATGGCGTTCCCGCCGCAGCGGTGGCTCCATTTTCTGGCCCTCGGCCCTTCCAAATCAGACTCCCGCTGCAGCGCTGATCTCATTCCTTCGTTGCGCATCTTCCAAATCTAGTTCCCACTACAGCGCTGGGTCACATTTTGCGCTTCTGCTCTTTCAGAAACGTCAAGCTACATATTCCGCATTGCGTCATGCCTGGTTTCGTTCAGAAGCTGTTGTCGAAATGAGTCGTGCTCTCGACCAGCGCTGGCTCTCATTCTACGCTACGGGTGTTTCCACACCGTTTGTTTACATGTCCCATCCTGCATCATGTCTGGTTTCCCTCAGAATCTGTTGTCGAACAGGAGTCGTGTTCTCGACCCGGCGACGCTCTGCCGTGCTCTTCTACGCCGTGGTACGCCGTGCGCTACCATGGGTCTCGTACCCTCTTGGGATCATTGCCTTACTCGAAATCCGACTGTGCGAATAGAGAGGAGATCTATGCCATTGTAAAGGATGGGAAGGAGGAGTATGACGTCAGATAAAACGCATCTGGAGACTTCCTGTGCGGAACAGATGTGGATGATGGTGACGATGATGGTGGTGATGATGATGAAGAGGAGGAGAATGAGCAGCAGCAGCATCACCAGCAGCAGCAGTAGCCTTATCCTCTCCGGTCTCTCCACCCGTCCCTCCTCGGGCGAGACGCGGAAGGACGGGCGCGTCCACAAGGCCTGCTGGATGGTCCGCGAGGGCTGCAGCTGCCCTTTCCGGTACGGGAAGGACGTCCTCAGCCCGGACACGATCCCACCATGGACGCCGGGGTGCGGGGTGGTGGGTGGATATGATGATGCTGCTGATGATGAGGAGGATGACGAGGATGCGGGTGACGATGATGTTGATGATAATCACGAAGATGATGATGGTGAGGAGGAGCCGGGTCAGGAGACTTGCGACTGTTTTGACGATGGTAACGATGGTGGTGTGCGTCGGTGATGACGATAGTGATGCTGATGTTGATGATGATGAGGGTCGTGATGATCATGATGATGAGGAAGAGGAGGATGTCCACGACGACGATGAGGATGACGATGACGATGACCATGATGACGATGATTACGATGATGATGCTGGTGGTGATTGTGATGGTGATAGTGATCGTGATGGTGACAATGATGATGCTGATGATGATGATTGTGGCTGTGCTGTTGATGATGACGATGATGGCGATGCCGATGGCGATGTCGATGGCGATGGTGGTGGCGATGATGATGGTGTTGATGATGGTGGTGGTGATGATGATGACGATGGTGATGATGAGGCTGATGATGATGATCATGTTGATGAGATTGACGATGCTGATAATGCGGCTGATGGTGCCAACATGATGGTGACGGTGACGCCGATGATGATGCCTGTGATGATAGTGGTGCTGGTGGTGGTGATGATGATGGTATTGAACCTGGCGATGAAGATGATGAAGCTGAGGAGTGATATGAGTATGATGATGCTGTTGATGGAGATGATGTCAATTGGGACGATGATGATAATGATGATGCCCTTAAGGGATCGCCCCCGTGACTCATCCCTCAACCCCCCAACCCCCCGGCCGGATTTCTTTTCTTCTTTCCGCGGGGGGTCAACCTTCGCGGCGACCCGTTAAACCCGGGACCCCTGGCGGCGCATGGATTTCTTTCCTTCTTCCCCGCGCGCGTTGCCGTTGGAACCCCTGAACCCCTCCGACTACCGTACAACTCGTACTTGAGTACAACTGGTACTATCATGTCCTATCGCGCAGTTGTTCCTAGAGAGCACGTTGTCCTGCCGTGCAAATATTCGAGTGCAGCTGGTATCATATTACAGCTGGTAAAATTGTGCCCCCTAGAACAACGCCCTATCGCCAATCCCCAGTACTAGTACAACTCCATGGTACAACTCCCGAGCACAATTCCCCCGTACAATTCCCCGGTTTAAGTGGTACTATAACAACTCTCTGATCCAAGTTCCGAGTGCTAGTACAACTCCCTCGTGCAAGTCCTTGATGCAACTCCTTGGTGCAATTCCCGAGTAATAGTACAACTTCTAGTGCAAGTCTGTAGTGCACTTCCCTAGTGCTACTACAATTCCTTAGTACAGTTTAAAAAACCATTGTACTACTTACAGTAGTGCACTTCCTTCCTATTCTGTAGTGCACTTCCTCAGTACTACTTACAGTCTCGGCTCTCACGCTTTTCTTCCTCTGGTTGCGCTTGGGGGGGTGGGGCCCCTCGCGCGGGCACCCCCGCGGCTGGGAGTTCATTCCTCTTCCGGAATTTGAGGGGGGGGGGTAACCCCCGTGCTCGAACCCCATCGCCAGGGTTTTTTTCTTTCCTCCGCGGAAACCGGACCCCCTGGGTTCTTCGGCGCGCCCAATTTTTTTTGTTTTTTCTGGTTGGGCCTCCATGGGTCTTAGGTTGGAGTCACCCGGGTGATCTTAAGGGGAGAAAGAGGATAAGGAGGACGGTTGTGACGATGCTGATGGTGAGGGAGATGGTGATGCTGAAGATGATGCGGCTGCTGCTGATGATAGTGATTATGATAGTGATGCTGATGCTGATGATGATGATGAGGAGGAGGAGGAGGAGGGGGAGTGACGCTAATGACGAGGTCGATGATGATGATGATGATGATGATGATGATGATGATGATGGAGAGGAGGAGGAGGAGGAGGAGGAGGAGGAGGAGGAGGAGGAGGATAATGTGGGAGGGGGAGGAGGCAAAGGAACACAGGTAGCGGGAGGAGGAGGTGGAGGAGGAGGAGGTGAAGGACCAGTGTAAACCTTAGACACATCAACGATGCTGCAATCAACTCTCCCTCCCCCCTTCATAGGTCCCTGCAAGAATTCATGGTCTCTGATGGAAGTGCCCCGCTGGAAGACAAGCATTTGAAAATCGTGAACCGTGCTAAAACACCATGCCTGGGAAGCCGACGCGGCGAATCAACGTGACTGTTGCGCCTTTACAGTCCGGCACCGTGCCAAAACACCGTTTTTGGGACGCAAGCGGTATGAATCCTTGAAACTGTTGCATCATCATCTGACGAATGCGCACGGCGCAAAGGCGAGAGCCACATTTTGAAAAGGAGCCGTCCTCAATCCTTGAAGCTCTTGCAAACGTTGAAGACGATTGTGCTCGGCGCTAAGGTGTGGACCATATTTTGAAAACTCCGCCCTCCATCTTAGAAGCTTTTGCAAAAGTGGAAGACGAATGTGTGCGGCGCTAAAGCGACGGTCACATTTTGAAAACGGCCCGCCATCCATCCGTGAAGTTCCTGCAAAGTTCTGGAAAGTTTCAGGCGAAACGCCCGGCCCGCCCTACCGACGTGCCTCGGGATGCGACAGGGAGGAACTAGTAATAAGGAGCAGGAGGGGAGAAGGATCAGTGTAAGCTCCGAGACGCTTCAACGATGCTGAAACCCTCCCCCCAAGTTCCCTCTTTCATAGGTTTCTGCAAGGATTTAGCTTCACCGCGGGATGTGTGCCGTTGGAAGACAACCTTTCGAACATCCAGAACCGTGCCAAAACACAGGTCCTCGGAGCTTAACGCGGCAATATTGTTGCGACATGACGGTCCTGAATCGTGCCAGAACACCATTATTGGAACTTCAGCACCTCGAGTCAGCATGACCGCTGCGCCATGACAGTCCTACATCGGAAAGAGCGCGCTTGTGGCGCACTTCTCATTCAAAAGGGGGGGGGCCAGCTTCAAGCTACCCCCTCCATCCCTTGGGAAAGGGGGAGGGGGGTTCGGAAGCTCCCCCCCATCCTTGCTGTGGACATTTCAGTGCCAGGGGGGCCCTAGCTACCAAGGGGGGGGGCTCCAAAGCTACCCCCTCTTCTGCCCGAGCCCAAGGTCAGCCGGGGTTTACCTCTTCAAGGGCGTGGTGGTGGCTTCGGAAGCTCCCCCCCTCCTTTTCGCAGCTGAGATTGCCGTGCCAAGAAACGGGGGGGTTCAAAGCTACGCCCCTCCCTCTTTTTCCGGAGCCCAAGATTGACCCGAGTTTCCTTTTCAAAGGGGGGCGGGCTTCGGAAGCTACCCCCCTCCATTTTCGCAGCTGATATTTGTTTGCCGAAGGGGGGGTTCAAAGCTAGTTTTTTTTTTTTTCTGCCGTCCTGTGGTGTTGGGTCCTCGTTTTGCAGAATGGGTGCCCCGCGTCCTCCTCCTCCTCCTCCTCCTCCTCCTCCTTCTCCTTCTCCTCCTCCTCCTCCTCCTCCTCCTCCTCCTCCTCCTCCCCTCATCTTCTCCTATTCCCCCTCCTCCCGTCGCCCGTCACTTTGGCACACCTCTCACGTTTCGTGGCCCCATTGGGGAGCTCCACCCAAAGGCCCCGGTGGCTGCGTTCACATGTCGCCTCCTGTCCATTTTGGCACACCGCTCACACGCTTCGTGGCCCCATAGTGAGCTCCCTCCACGCAAGGCCCCAGCGGCTGCGTTCACATGCGGCCTTCTGTTCACCTCGGCCCACCCTTCACACGCTCCGTGGCCCCATGGGGAGCTCCACCCAAGGCCCCAGCGGCTGCGTTCACATGCCGCCTCGTGTCAGCTTTGGCACACCCCTTTCGCGTTTCGTGGCCTCATAGGGAGCTCTTCCCTCCCAAGGCCCCGGTGGCTTTGGTACACCTCTCACACGTTTCGTGGACCCATAGGGAGCTCCACCGAAGGCCCCCGCGGCTGCATTCGCATGCCACCCCTTCTACTTGGGCACACCCCTCACATGTTCGTGGCCCCATGGGGAGCTCCACCAAAGGCCCCAGTGGCATGCGCATGCGTTTCCCTCACCCAGTACAGCGCTTCGTGGCCCCATAAGGGGGCTCCACCGAAGGCCCTAATGGCGGTGTTCGCATGCCTCTCCACTACTCAGTGCAGCGTTCCGTGGCCTCATAGGGAGTTCCCACCGAAGGCCCTTGTGGCTGTGTCCGCATGCGTTCCCCCCACCGAGTACAACTTGTCGTGGCCAGATAAGGTGCTCCACCGAAGGCTCCAGTGGCAGTGTCTGCATGCGTTTCCCCCACGCAGCACAGCGCTTCGTGGCCCCATAGGGGGCCCCACCGAAGGCTCCAGTGGCTGTGTCCGCATGCGCTTCCCCCACCAAGTACGGCGCTTGGTGGCCCCATAGAGGGCTCCACCGAAGGCCCCATTGGCGGTGTCTGCATGCGTTTCCTCCATGAAGTACAGGGTTTCATGGCTTCATAGGGAGTTCCACCGAAGGCCCTTGTGGCGGTGTCCGCATTCGTTCCCCCCACCGAGTACAACTTTTCGTGGCCAGATAAGGTGCTCCACCGAAGGCCCCAGTGGCGGTGTCTGCGTGCGTTTCCCCCACCCAGCACAGCGCTTTGTGGCCCCATAAGGGGGCCCCACCGAAGGTGCCATGCACATGTTTTGGGCAGACCTCCCGCACCAGAAGTTTCGGTTTCGCGCGGAATGTCTTCCATTCCCGGCTCGGCGCTCTTTGGCGCTAAGAGCCTTGAAGCCATTTTCGCCTTCTCATCTTCCAGCGTCGACTGCTTGGCCTGGACCCAGTATGCCCCAGGCCAGACTGGCATCCCATGTGCCGGCGCCAATGGCAAGCACCAAAGCTTGCGCAGGCCTTTGCCTTCCACCTCAGTCCACCGCTGCTGAGCGTCCTGGCCCTTTTCACGGGGCACCTCGTCTTTTTCTCATGTGATCATCAAGGCGATCTTCACCACCGCCTGAGAATTTTCTTCATTCACGCACTGGTCACGCATTTTCCTTTGCAAGCCTTGCGCAATCTGCCACGTACGCGGGCCCTCTTTCACC